GCTTACAATGGCCGTCCTGGGTCAGACCAAAGGTCCATCTAGCCCAGTAGCCTGTCTGCCGACAGCGGCCAACCCTAGGGACCCTGGAGGGGATGGACCGAAGACAGTGACCAAGCCATTTGTCTCGTGCCATCCCTCTCCAGCCTTCCACAAACTTTGGGCAGGGACACCACTCCTACCCTCTGGCTAATAGGACTCCATGGACCCAACCTCCATCACTTTATCTCACTTCCCTTTAAACTCTGTTCTAGTTGTAGCCTTCACAGCCTCCTGCAGCAAGGAGTTCCACAGCAGGTTAACTATTTGCTTTGTGAAGAAGAACAACTTTCTCTTACTAGTTTCAAGCCTGCTACCCATTCCTTTCCTTTGGTGTCCTCTAGTCCTTCTTTATGGGAACTCAGGAAGAACTTTTCTGAATGCACCCTCTCCACCCAACCCCTGCTTTTAGAGACCTCTATCCTGTCCCCCCTCCGTCTCCTCTTTTCTAAGCTGAACAGTCCCAGTCTCTGTAGCCTTTCTTCATCTGGGACCTGTTCCCAACCCCTGATCATGTTAGTTGCCCTCCCCTCTCCCAGCCTTTCTCTTCCCCTCTCCCACCTCCTTTTCCCAGTCTCCCCCAGTTTTGTTCAATAAAGACAGAGTCAATGTTGGAAGAAACGTTATCTTTATTTTGTACATCAATAAGAAGGGGGGCTAGGGAAGGGTAAGTGGACGGAGGGGAGGGAGGAATGGGGTATGAGCCCCCGATGGGGAGGACTGGGCTGGCTCTGCGGGCTTCTGGGGGTGGAAGCTCTCCTGCAGCCCCCCAATTGCCCCCTCTCCCCAGATGGCAGCCTGCGGCAAGTGCAGCCGGGCTGATGGCCGAGTGGTGTGATGTGCCCAGTGTGGGCACTCCGGGCACTCCAAGCCAGGACTAGTTTTCAAGCGGGGCACCCCTTAGAACTGTGTGTCCGGGGTGGGGGTCGGGACCCTTTAAGCGCAGCCCTCGGCTAGCCCGAGAGAGCATCTCCACGCTCTAAGTCCTCCTCTGATGCCCTGCCGGCACTGCTTCCGGCCATCCTTAAGCCCTGTTCAGAGTCCACTCAATGTGGACTTGCTAGTTCGAATTAGCAAAACGCTAATTCGAACTAGTTTTTAGTTCTAGACGCGTTAGTTCGAATTAGCTTAGTTCGAATTAACTAATTCGAACTAAGTTAGTTCGAACTAGCGCTGTAGTGTAGACGTACCCTGGCTGCGTGGAACAGAGTGGATGCTGCATTTGCTTGTGCTTTCCTCACGGGTTGTGCGGCCAGCAGCGCCGGTCATGGGAAACAGGCTTGTGAATCTCGCCGCTGATGCTCATCCAGGATTAAAAGGAAGTCAGAAGATGATCAGTTCTCTTGTTCTGTTTATCAACATGATAAATCCTATCAAATGTATTGAAGGCGAGAGTTTGTTACCAGGACATAGTCCATAGTAAGGGGAGGCAGGTAGCTGCATCAGTCCAATGAACAGGGTTCAGGGGCGTACAGATCTCTCTTGCTTTTCAGAAGTATGAGGAAGAGGTACATAGCATGGTACTTCTGTCCGGTGTCAGCAGTGACTTAACTCTCCCCCTACATCACCTACCTCACAAACTCGGCAATGTTGCTCAGCAAACAAGGGATAGATCTGAACATAACATAAGAACGTAAGAACATAAGAACGGCCATACTGGGTCAGACGAAAGGTCCATCAAGCTCAGTAACCTGTCTGCCAACAGTGGCCAGCACCAGGTGCCCCAGAGAGGGTGGACCGAAGACAATGATCAAGCAATTTGTCTCCTGCCATCCCTCTCCACCTCTGACAAACAGAGGCCAAAGACACCATTTTATCCCCTGGCTAATAGCCTTTTATGGACCTAACCTCCATGAAATTATCTAGCTTCTCTTTAAATTCTATTATAGTCCTAGCCTTCACAGCCTCCTTTGGCAAGGAGTTCCACAGGTTGATTATGGAACTCCTTGCCGGAGGAGGCTGTGAAGGCTAGGACTATAATAGCCTTCTAGGACCATCTGAGACTCTGCCCACGCCTTGACCCACCTGCCTGTTCCACAAAAGGAATAAGTGGCCTATAGGCCCTCACACCCCGCCCATTCCCTCACATCTACCCATTCTGGACCAACTCCTGGACAGTCCTTAAAAGTGTAACAGGGACGTCTTACTCCCCAAGTCTTCTTACTCCCCAAGACTTATGCAACCCAAGTCACATTTTTGCCCTAAGAATCACAGGTGCTCTGCAGGCCCAGCCAGAGAGCTCAGCTCTTCCTCTCCTCCAGCACAATTCAAACCTCATGGGAACTGTATCCCAAGGGGAGCGTATAAAAGGAAGGGAAAAAAATAAATCTGGACAGACAGTCACCAAAGGTTTACATACATAAGAACAGCTGTACTGGGTCAGACCAAAGGTCCATCTAGACCAGTAGCCTGTCTGCTGACAATGGCCAGCACCAGGTGCCCCAGAGAGGGTGGACCGAAGACAATGATTAAGCTATTTGTCTCCTGCCATCCTTCTCCAGCCTCTAACAAACAGAGGCCAGGGAAACCACTTCTATCCCCTGGCTAATAGCCTTTTATGGACCTAACCTCCATGAAATTATCTAGCTTCTCTTTAAACTCTGTTATAGTCCTAGCCTTCACAGCCTCCTCTAGCAAGGAGTTCCATAGATTGACTACAGGCTGTGTGAAGAAGAACTTTCTTTTATTAGTTTTAAACCTGCTCCCCATTAATTTCATTCGGTGTCCTCTAGTTCTTCTATTATGGGAACTAATAAATAACTTTTCTTTATCTGCCCTCTCCACACCACTCATGATTTTATAGACCTCTATCATATTCCCCCTCAGTCTCCTCTTTTCTAAACTGAAGAGTCCCAGTCGCTTTAACCTCTCCTCATATGAGACCTGTTCCAAACCCCTAATCATTTTAGTTGCCCTTTTCTGAACCCTTTCCAAGGCCAAAATATCTTTTTTGAGGTGAGGAGACCATATCTGTACACAGTATTCAAGATGTGGGCGTACCATAGTTTTATACAGGGGCAGTAAGATATTCTGTGTCTTATTTTCTTTCCATTTCTTAATAATTCCTAGCATCCTATTTGCCTTTTTGACCGCTGCTGCACACTGTGTGGAAGTTTTCAGAGAACTATCCACAATAACTCCAAGATCTCTTTCCTGATTTGTCGTAGCCAAATTAGCCCCCAAGTTTGATTCGTAACTTTCCTGTTGGTGCACTGGTACCGGAGATGATGGTTTCTCTTTGTTAATATGCATCAGCGCCATCATTATTATTTTTTCAGGGCACATGGAGCTTCATATTAGGGCTGGCAAAACAATGAAAACGTGAGACAAATCCAGCACTCTTACTTGAAAAACAGAATTCCACCAGCTATTGAGCTGATGGGATAATGTAACAATTATTCATGACATGGCATATTTGATGAAGAATTTATATCTGCGTGACAGAAAGGAATCACAGAAGTCCCCTTAGGGTTGTCCCCTGGTTTGCTGATCATGTCACTGTCACCCACCTTCCTGCTCTCTGGGGCTCCCCACAGCTCCTCTGATCTCCCCAGCCAGGGCACAGAACTGGAGTTGCAACCCTTCTGCAAATCAACACAGACACTGAAGCACTTCAACAATTCATTGAACCTGGAAAATGACCAGGTCCAAGATGGAGTCCAGTACGAGGTGGCACATGACAGGTCTTTCTAGGACCATAGTTTGGGTTCCCGGGACAAGCAAAGCTACTCACAGGTTGTTGAGTTGATAACTGAACTATTAGGTTCCCTCCCCAGCATGAGTAATAGCCCTCATGAACACATTTAGAGCTATAAAAAGATTCACACGTCTTATTTCTAACTTCACATGCAAGGAGGATGTATGCACAAAAATAGAATGCATACATTCAACAGATTGTAACATTAACATTAATAGGTTACAGAAGGTATTTTGTCTAAAGCTTCTTGGAGCTAGGCATCTTCGTATTCACAAACCAATTCTCATAAGGCACTGTCACTCACTCTTTTTTCCCTACCCAGCCCAGCAGATCTAGTCAGGATAACGCGGATACATTGAACCACCAAGCATCCAGAGCTTGCTCTTCCTATATTTCAAAATCAGAAGCACTGAGGGGAGCCTGGGGAAAGTTGAGGACTCAAACAGTCCCCCACTGGACCTGCGTGCCTGGCGGTGCTTTGCTTTTCAGATGTACAAGAGCCCTCCTCGGGCTCTTGTAGATTTCAAAAGCAGGGAGTACGGGTCCAGTGGGAGACTGCTTGAGTCCCTCACTGGCTGTGATTTCCGTGGCACTTCTGAAATGTATCAAGACCTGGTAGGACTCTTGCTACATTTCAAAAGCAGAAGCGCCCTTATCAACGAATCGAATAGTTGACGCAAATTACATCGACTATTTGATTAGTTGATTAATCTAAATTTAACATCCTTAATCCAGATCCCTTAATGATATCCCACCCACCAATGCCTTCAGCAAGAAGGAAAAGGGCTGGGGATGGGCTTTTAATAAAAAAATGAGACTGGGGTAAAAATAAAAATCACTAAAACAGAAGTTTAAAATAAAGTGTGATTGTTCTGCCTTAACTAGCCATAACTCGTTAGGCCACATACTGCTCTGTTTACACGAATGGGAAGTTCTGCCATGAAATTCAATATGATTGAGATTTGACCCTTTGGAAATTGAGGCCATTCAATCTTTGGTGATTTTTTGGAAATTGAGGCCATTCAATCTTTGATGATTTTTTGCGAGAGCAATAATGGTCCAACTTCCCACGTCTGCCTAATCTTTTTCTTATACTTCTTCCTAGTTAGTTGGAACAGTTGAATTGGATTGTCTGGAAAGATCTGTTCAATGTGAGCATTGTGTTTCTAGACTCTGCAGCATCACACCCATGTGACATACTTATTTATTTCCTTTCCGAGACATTCCCCATATTTATCACTTTGTCTTATCCTCTTTTGCATCCCAGGTCGCTGGATTGAAGATCACGGAGTGATCCACAATATGATGTTTAACACAGAGACCCTGAAGAAGTATTCTCATAAGGCAACCCAGAACAAGACAGAGTGGTGGGACAACGGGGTGTTGCCATTATGGATCACAGCTCAGAACCAGGTACCGCAGAAAGTCTTGAAACTGTGTAATACCTGCTCTTTGGTTTTCATTTTCATAACTTAATCCCTTTGCCTGAATGGGACATGCACCATCCTATGCCAAGCAACACTGAAACTATGTTTGCTAAGCAATGGCTGTGTCAGCGTCACTCCATGGTGCTAAATACCAGTGGCACATCAAAAGGAATCTAAGTGCCCACTGTCATTAACAGGAGTTCTTCCATGGATTTCAGTGGGGTTTAGCAGTATTTGCATATGCACACAGGATATTACCAGCTAATATTGCTTGGGCTTGAAATAGTAGGGTTGTACTAGGGATGTAATACTACAGTCAATTAACCGATTAGCAAAAGCTTATAGGTTAATGCTATAGACTACATGCATTTCTCCCTGGCCCCCCAGCCCCTTGCCAGTAATTTTTTAGCAGGTTGGCCAACAGCTCAGCTCAGTCCCAGCTTGCATTGTGTCCTGGACCTACTCCCACTGCGGCTCTGCATTTAAAGCGTTTTAGGAGCCAGGCGGACAGACAGCCTGGCTCAGTTCCGGCTCGTGCCAGGTCCAGGAGCCCAACCCCCTCTCCTCCGCCCCCTGAATAGGAGCTGCCTGGTGACTATAGAATAATCAACTAACTGATAAGAATGTATGAGATTAATCGACCATTCAATTAATCCCTAGGTTGTACAGCATAGTGCTTTGCATGCTTTTGACTGGCACTTGTTTTGTGTTAGGCTTTAATAACATGGCCCTAAATATCTTTATTTTGCTGCAGAAAATCCTACACAATGCAACTCCAATGTATTTCCTCTGGTGTTTGCAACTTGTGTCTGATTCCTTGCATTTGTCTGATTGCCAATTACCTTTGGATATTTGTTCCTCTCCACCCCTCATTACTCATAATCTGAGCTTTTTTGGGGGGGTCCCTTCCTTTTCCTCGGAATTTGTAAAGTGATTGTTCAGCAAATTTGTTTAAGGAAGAACACTACAGACATCCGGATTGATGACTTGTCACTTGTCTAGCAGGCAAATGTTAAATTGCGGCATCCAGCGCGTAGTAACTCCACAGTTAAGACTGCAAGCATTCTTCCACAAACCAAAGAACTGTTGTTTACAATTACAGCCACCCTGATTGCGGCAGGCCAACTAACTCAGCAGGAGAACTCTATTCATCAACATTTTACTTGTACAACCCTTCTGCCAGGGAGCAACAGCAACAGCTAGGACCAGGTTCAATAACTAGGGGTTCCCCTCTATCCATCCAACACAGAACTGGCTTGAGCCCCCACCCAGTAACCTGGGAAATTCACACAGCACCCCTGGGCACCTCTGAGAGGCAATGCTTCCCCACTCGCCAGCACGGAGCCCGAGTGTAGAAAAGAAACCTTTAATAAAAGGGCAGGGAAGTAACATGGCATTAATTTAGGAAAACACCACAAAGAGTTCATAACCAAACCCACGAGTTGACATCCCAGATCAAGTAGCTTGGGCGATGTCCTTTTCCTCTCAGGCTCACAAGGCCTGTCCCATTCACATGCCCCATCCTTCTCTGCACCCCACTCACAGTTGCTGCCCTTGGTCAGGGCAGACCAGAGTTCAGAGATGCATCTTCAGAGTTCACCTCCCATCCTGAGATGGGGGAAGGGGGAGATAAAGCATCTTACTCACTCCACTGGTCACTCGCCATCCACCTGCTCGCTGGCACCGCTCTGCTGGGCATTTGTTGCCCCTCGCTGCCACCACTCTGCTGCCCGCGCCTTATGCCTCTCCATCAACCCTACTGGCTGCTCATTGCATCTTCTGCTGGCTTGTTGTGGGTCAAACCTAGTGATTTCAGCTTTTGGCCCAAAGCACAGTCCAGCCACAAGAAAGTCCACAAGCAACCACTGGAGTAAATTTAAATACTAAAATAGACTCCTTATGGAGTCTTTCTTTAGCTCTATTATTGAAACAGTGGGGAGAAACAGGTTGGACCAGTCTTACAGCTCACGCCTGCTGACTCCGAGTCCTCCCTCCCCAGCTTAATTTCACGGGATTCTGGAAGACGAGCCTCTGTCCTTCCAAGTGTATTTACACTGACAGGGTCTCTTCTTTTGAATGGAGCTAAGCACAGTCTGACTTTTCTGCATTCCCACAATAACTGCAAGCACTGGTGATCATCTCCCTGGGTATGTCTACACTACCCCGCTAGTTTGAACTAGCGGGGTAATGTAGGCATACCGCACTTGCAAATGAAGCCCGGGATTTGAATTTGCCGGGCTTCATTTGCA